ACCAAGGAATGTGGGCAGCCTCTTGGAAAAGACAAGAAAACAGATTCCTTCTAGAGGCTCTAGAAAGGAATACAGGCTTGCTTACACCTGGATGTTAGCCCAGCGACCCACTTCAGACTTCTGATCTCCAGAAATATAAGATAGTAAATGTGTATTGTTTCGTCACTAAATTTGTGGTAACTTGTTACAACAGCAATAGGAAACTAATAAAACTATCTCCACATTGAAACTATTAGGTGTGTGTTATGGGGTGATTTATGTCTCCCAAAAAGAAATGTTGAAATCCTAACCCCCAGGACCTGCGAATGCAATCTCATTTGAAGATTGGGTCTTTGCAATGTAATTCATCAACATGAGGTCGTTAGGGTGAGCTCTAACCTAATATGACTCGTATCTTTATAAGAACAGAGAGGAGAATGCTATGTGAGGACACAAAGACACACAAAGGAAGACAGCCATGCAAAGACAGAGGCTGGGATTGGAGCGATGCACCTACAAGCCAAAGAGCTCCCAGTAGTCTGGCCACCACCTGAAGCTAGGAAGTGGCAAAGCGGAGCAGAATCTCAGAGCGAGCAAGGCCCTCCTGACACCTTAGTTTCAGACTTGGAGCCTCCAAAACTGTGGGAGAATAAATTTCTGTTGTTTTATGTCACCTAGTTTGTGGTACTTTGTTATGGAAACCCTAGGAAATAATACAGTGTTAGTCTCTGATTTGTCAAACTTAGGTCACATGTCTAAGCCCTAAATACAAGCGAGACTGGAAAAGCCAGGGTCTGACCTTTATGGCTTCTAACCATAGTGAAGACTCACTGATTGGGGATTTCCTAAGATAGGGTTTAGATGCTTGGCAGGAAAAACAAAACAAACAAAAAATAGATACATATACATTTTTAACTATAGTTTATTCATTAATTTGAATATTAGACTGTAATAACAAGTTAGAGATATATATAGTAAATTAACTACCCTCCATGATATATTAAGTTAAAAATGAAAGAGTAGAAGATTGTATTTCATATATATCCCTTTGTCTAAAATAAAACTCAAAGTGATTTAATTTGTTAATCATACTATTGCCTATTGGCACGTGTTCTCCCTTTGTATACATAAAATATTTCTAGAAGGATGCCCTAGAAACTGTTAACATTGGTATCCTCTGGATTGGAGCCTAAGTGGACTAAAAGTATTGACATTTGACTGATAAGATTTTTATTCTTGTTGTTATTATTATTTTTATTAAAGATATATGGAGTGAGTAAATTTCAATATATAAAGTCAAGTGTGCAAGACCATACTATTTTATTTACAGTAACTCAAAGATTAAGAACTTGATGGTGGAGAGGGGACTGACCAAAGAGGGCTGTGAGGCAGTGTGTGGGGATGGTAGACTAAACCTAAATTTACAAATGTTCTTAGTATCAACTTGGAGCCCTGGTGGCGTAGTGGTTAAGAGCTCCACTGCTAACCAAAAGGTCGGCCGTTCAAATCTACCAGTCGCTCCTTAGAAGCCCTGTGGGTCAGTTCTACTCTGTCCTATAGGGTAGCTGTGAGTTGGAACCGACTTCACGGCACCTAACAACAACAACAACAGTATCAACTTGACTTGTTTTGCCAGATTGGTTTACTTCATAATAAATCACCAGTATCTTCCTTCCTGATTACCCCCCTTTGAGGAAACCCTCCCATTTTCAGGGGTTGCCTCTTTCTAACAGAATATCCTCAACTTCCAATATGCCCCAGGGGTTCCACTAAATATCATCTAAAAACCTGCAGGATTCTCTACTGAGTATTAGCTCTGATTTGAACACAGGTTATGTCCCCAAAAGCCACTGTATTACAAAGCTCAAGAATTAGAATTCAATATGCTTTTTGAAAAATCACTAGGGTTCTTGAGTGCAGACATGCATTTGTTAAAACTATGGAAAGTGACAAAAAACCAAATATTTTATTATGATATTTTATTATGGGTGTCTGTAAGAAAAAAGATCAACAACCACATACAAGCTTACAAAGTCAAATTTCAACACATTCTCCATGTTACTGTGACAAAAGCAGCCCCATAATTTGTTTTGTTTTGTTGTTGTTGCTGACTTTAACAGAATGAAGGGAAAGAGTCCCCTGAAATGGCATGCCAATCAATGTTTTTGACAGGAGACATGTACAGAAGTTGTGCACTTATTTTGAATGCAAGTCAACAATTCTGACCTAGAGTTTTAAAAGTGAAAGTACATTAGCACCATAGTATGTGTCTTTAAAGCCTTCCCAAATATTGGTAATCTTGACCAGTAATGACCGGAAAAGAGAGAAGCACCTTTAAAAGCATTTAATATCCAAGATTAAAATAATTGTGGCTTCCAAATATTTCTTCAAATTCTTGCACTACCCTCTAACTTTTTTTGCTACCAGTATTTTAAGAAATGAATCAAATCAATGAAATTCATAAGATTTGCCAACTTGTACAAATTTTTTGCTCTTCTGGAACTCAAAAGAGTTCATCTGTGTTTTTGACCAGGTTGAGGTAGTTGAAACAGGGAAGTCTTTTCTAATTTCATGTTTGAGTATTCAGAAAGAATGGTTATCTTTTAATGGTGAGCATAGTCACTGCTCTGCAGATGGGCTAGGATTCAAATAATATAACACAGTGTTATTGTACGAGTGTTGAAGTTTATTTATTATAGCACCATTGAGACATTTTGAAATTGAAATTGGTAAAAAAATAAAACAAAAAGCATTTTAATTGTACTTGGTGTAACAGCAAAAAAAGTATCCATTTTTGTCAAATTATACTTTTTCCAAAAATTTTGGAAATAAATAACTGGAATTTAGTTGGTCACTTGTACTGGTTGACAAGATTAGAACAAGAGAACACATACGGAGTGTGAAATTTTTTGCTCGGTTTTCAGATAGAGTTTAGTTTATAAAAAGCAAACAGGGCCAATGTCCACACCAAACTCTTGATCAGGACCACCAATATCATAGGGTGCAATGTCTACAATAGGTAGTCTCACAGCCTTGCGTGTTCGATATTCGAAGATTGTTTTGCCCCATTCCCCAGTGTGTTTCTGTAAAAAGAGCAAAAAATGTAAGTGATCATTAAATTACAATTACTTAGACAGTTCCTCTGACTGACCAAATTAAAAAAAAAAAAAAATGCTGCTTTAGGGGAGTTGTCAGCTTGCCATGCCTATCTTCCATACGTGTGAGGACTGCTCCACTTCAAAGCCGCAATACTCCAAGATGATAAACCATGTTCTTAATCAATCGAAAGTTTTGTGGCATATTTAAACCCAGCAAGGTAATCATCAAAGGCTAGACTATTTTTAGAAGGCCTGAATCTGGTCATTACTACCAGGTATAGAGTCAGTTTACTAAGAAGTGAATTGTTCATTCACAATGGAATTTTCTAATATTAGAAGTGAGTTTTCCCTCTGTTCATAAATAACAGAGGATAGTTATGAATTTAATCCCTAAGATTAAAACTTAATTTTAATTTATTTGAAATTTTGATTTAATTTAAAATCTAAAATACTCAGAAGTTTTAGATGGAGTCCATCCAAATTATTTGATAAAGTTTATATTATGCATTTAAATTCACCTGCTTTCATTTCAACTCTTTTAATCTGGAGATAGGTCCAGATGGGCGAAGGAGATGTTTATTCAGTCAGAAACTACATCAGTATGATTTCGGTAGAATGCTCTTTTGAATAGCCAAAATCAAAGATTAAGAACCCAGTCAAAATCAAAACTATTAGTTATTTAACTGTTTTCTTTGATATAATTTTCAAAAGCATATTCTCCTAACCTTTTCATTACTGTTTAAAATGTATTTTCTTTCAAACAGCATTTTCTTTCCTTCTGAAACATTTAACCTTGTTAAACACATAACCCTAATTATCTTTTCTCCTTCCTCCCCCCACTCTATGTCCACCATACAAGAGGTAATAAGCAGAGATTCTTTTCTCTTGAAAAACGAATTACTCTTAAAAGGCACTATTGCTTGTTCCCCCTTACTTATGTCTCCTATGTTTTCAAGTTCTCTCATATGTGTGAACAAATTTTTTTTATAAAACAGGATAAAGCTTAATCCTCAGAAAATAGCAGAATTCATCAATCTGGTCTCCAAATATCCAGGGACTCCACAGATAGTTTGGAGGGGGGTCTTAACCTTCCAAAAACTGGATGCAATTTTTACTTACATTTGTGCGTGTTTTTTTCTCTTAAATAAGCACACATAGCTCTCACTAGATTTTTAAAACATTTATGAGTCATAAAAATTTAACATCTAGTGAACAGTAGATCTGTTCACTTTTTTGTGGTATTTAACATTCCCTACAATCAAATAGTAGATTCTATACAGCTCACACCAAATGCCACCTTCGGTTCACCCCTTTTATTGTTATTTCTTCTCTTCAAAATAGTTAGCATGATTAAACTAGAAATGCTGAGCTCTTTAGGAACTGTGTTTATAAAAATGTTGTTACTTACAGTGCAACCATCCTCTAGAACCGTGTATGTGAATTTGCTGTTTCCTTCAGCTTTGAATTCGCCTTCATTTGCTCCCATCATCTTCAGGGCTTTCTTTACATTCCCAGTGGCCTGATCCATATATGCGATGCTATTCTTGCAGTGGTATGTGATGTTCTGGGAGGCCCGGCTGGATAGAAGTCGGAGGAATGCAAGCTGGACATCGAGTACATCTTCAGGAAGTTCAGGGTTGCCATAGCCAAACTGTGATAGGGAACAAATAAAATGGATCGAACATTTTAGTTGCAGTGTGCGTAGGGGACTCGTGGTATTGATATGGCCATTGTAATATAGATTGTTCTTTTGCGTTATATATGAATATATTATATACAGATATATTTTAATTGCATGTATAAATTCAGTCTAGTTTGGCTCTTAACAAAAGACAAGTTATTAAAGTAGTCACCTGAATGTATACAATTACATGGCTCTTATATTTATTAATTAACTTAGCTTTTTGATGAATAAATAGAAGGAGCAAGGAAAGTCAGGTAGGTCAGGATGATGTAGTTAAAAATGGTATGTTATTTCTCACCTGAAAACCACCACCCATGGACTCTCCAAACCAAACGTGTTTCTTCTCAGCACCAGAATTGGTCCACCAGTTCTTTTGTGGAACATTTGAAGGACTGGCATTTATGCATGTTTCCCCAGTTTCCATTTTACAGAATACTTTGATAGCATCCAACTTGCAACCTTGGTTAGGGTCAACCCAATATTCTCCTGAATAGTCACAAAAAAGGACAATAGGAATTGGTTATAAAATCCAGTAATAAAATTTAGATCATTATGATTTTGTTTGTTTACCTGGTAAGGCATTCATCAAGTTGACTGCTAATATATTTCTATTTTAGATATTTGTATATAATAGTACATCATTATACAGAAAAATTTTCAGATGAAATTGGTGAAGTAAAAATACTAGCTATAATAATTAGAAAGCACCAAAATAAAAATAACATTTGGCCTCTGAACAATAATGACATATTAAGCCAAGACATTTTGAATGGTATGTTGTATTTGCTTTCTTTTTTTAAGGTAACCCACTAATGTTATTTTGCTTAATGATGTAATGTGGTTGTCTAATCCAGATTTATATTAAAAGGCCTAACCATAAAGTTTCCATATTTGATGGTTATTCCCTGTTTTAATTTCCAGAACTGACTCATAGGAAAGGCAATGTTCCCTGTGAAGGCATTAAAAGCTTGAAATAATTTTGCGTTTCATATAGAAGTAAGTCAATATATGCAAACCTCTACACTATTACACTATTCTATATAAACCTATACAATATTCTGGTATTTTTCATTTAATTGTCATTTAATTTGGAAAAAAAAAAAGATTCTTAGAACAAAAATTTAAATTGCAAATTATGTTTGCATTACATTGCATATATCTAATCTTGAGAACACATGATCATGTAGGTTGTTTTATCAGTCATAACTTTGTTGTGATGTTCAGAGGCATACCAAACTCTGAGTTGCATTGACATTGCTACAAAACTGTCTTTAAATTTTCCTGTATTTGTAATATTTTAAGTTAGTTATGTTACATTTTAAGTACCTGCAAAATTTACTTTTTCTTACAATATCAAGCAGTGTCAACTCAATTAACATCTTTTAAATATTACTTCTGCTCTACGATACTTTCCATTCACAGTAAAAGTTTTCTCTTCCTCAAATTATAATATAAGCAGCTCTCTCTGTAATTCTGTTGCCATGAACTTGAAAGACTCCCCAACATACCACTCTTGAGTTCAGGATGACAGAATTTCAGGTCTCTGCAGTTCCGAGCAGGATTTTTACGAGAACCATCAGGGCTAATGAGGCTTTCTATTTGCCCATTAACTGATTTGAGTGAAGACATAATCTCTTCAGTGTTGATTCTGAAATCCATTGGATCATCTCCATAATATGGGGCAAAACCACCAGCCTTTTCAGCTCCAGCCAAGCCGACAGCACCCGCACCACAGCATGGACCAGGGGCACCAGGAGGTCCAGGAGGGCCTGGTTGTCCTGGGTGGCCAGGGGAGCCCTAAGAAGGGTAAGAACACACATCACTGAGGTGTACTTTTTGGTCTCCACCTGAAGAATATTTTGTTAACCCAAGAAAATGCATTAAAAACGTTGTGTGAAATTATTTTATTTGGGCTTTTATGTGATCAAACAATTTATAATAATTACAATTCATTACTGTGAAATTTATAGTGTTCTACTATACAAGAATAAGAGATGTCAGACCACAAATTTTATTCTATCATGTTTCCCTTCTGTATAAATGATGTAAACAAACAACTCATGAAGTACAGTTCTAATGCTGCCATGACACAGAGGATAACATCAGGAAACCTAAATTCTGACCCCAGAATCTAGCTTTGTATCTTTGAGCTGTTCATTTAACTTATTTGTATTTCAATTGCCATATGTGCAACTTAGGATAATAGTTCTTATTTCATTTATTCTACACAGTGGGATAGGAAGGTATTAGGGATGATAGTATCAGTACATAAGAGGAATCATGGATGCTGTTTGAGAGGTAAAATACACTACATAAATGCAAAGCATTATGATTCTCACACCAGCTTTAAATGGCTTCTATTGTGAGATCAACGTTGGCATAGCTCGTTTGGTTAATTGGGAACATGTTATTCTTCTATCTAATGGACTGTAACTCTTAGTATTAACTAATATAAAGTCTTAAAAAACTTAATATATATATATTTTTCTGCCTGTTGTCATAGTGTGGTGGAGAGGGTCCCAGTATGGTCATTGTTTATTCTCTCCATCAAATCAGGTGATTGTACTATGTGAAACTCACTATCTCGGTTTTAAAATACTACACGGTGTTTCTGAACACTTGAAGATGATAGCAAATTAGATACGTGTATTTACAAGCAACGTCTCACCTCGGATCCTCTTTCACCTCTATTACCCCGAGGCCCTGGTGGTCCAATGGGACCTGGATGTCCACTTGTTCCATCTTTGCCAGGGGGTCCACTGGGTCCAGCAGGTCCCTAGGAAATTATAATGACATTACAATGCTAGACTTCCCACAGTGCAAAGATTTTAGAACTGTGGACATTCCAGTTTCTTTCTCTGATACTTACTCTGGGGCCCGCAGG